CTCTACTTTTAAGATTAGGCTTAAAACTTTCCTTTTTGCTAAAGCATATAGTTAGGGCTGGACCAGGTGACCCTGAATCCTCCCTTAGTTATGCTGCGATAGACATAGGCTGCCGGGGGATTCCCATGATGCATTGAGTTTTTCCTTTCCAGTCACCTTTCTCACTCACTATGTATTAATAGTAATTGTAATATGGAGACGTTTTACTGATGTACCAGCTGTCTGCATTCCGAATCACTGTCACATTGTGTCCCTGCAAATGGAGCTCTTCAACAAGTACTCTCATGTTCACCCAGTGGCTTCCATCATGTGGAAATACCAGAATTTTTCCAGAATGTGCGACAGGAATAAAAATAGTCAAAAAAGAGAGGATGGAAGCCAGTGACAAAAACATCTTCAAATCACAGTGGATGTTGATGGTGGTGGAAATGAAGATTTTTTTCGTGCATTTGTCTCTGAGGTTATTAAAATTAAGCGAAGCATGGGGTCTACATGGTCTCACTTTGCTTTACAAATGGAGTTAAAAGACAAATTCCATGAACTGCACAAAAAAGTCTGTGAAGTGATTGTGTTCATCTTTGAAAATGAAGATTTAATGAGGTCCTTAAAAGATGCCAAGTATGATGTGGTTTTGACAGATCCTGCTAATGGCGGAGGAGTGTTGCTGGCACATTACCTTGGCGTGCCATTGGTGTTCAATGCTCGATGGACTGTTCATGGTGAGGCCCACTTTGCTATTGCGCCCTCTCCACTTTCCTATGTTCCACTATCACCTTCAGAGTTAACGGATCACATGACCTTCTTTGGGAGGGTCCAGAACATGTTATTTTACATCACGAGAATGCATCTGTACAAGCAAATAGTTGAACCACATTATTCTGTATTGTCAAATCGCTACATCGGACCAGGTGTGCATTATTTCTCCCTTTTTCAAGCTGCAGATTTGTGGCTAATGAGAGTGGACTTTGTTTTTGAGTTTCCACGACCCACCATGCCTAATGTTGTTTATATGGGAGGTTTCCAGTGTAAACCTGCAAAACCTCTTCCACAACACTTAGAGGAGTTTGTGCAGAGTTCTGGAGATCACGGAGTTATCATTATGTCACTAGGGTCTTTGATTGGAGAACTTCCCTCTGACTTAGCTGAAGAGATTGCTGCAGCTTTTGGCGAGTTACCTCAGAAAGTGATCTGGAGGTATAAAGGTAACAAACCAGCCCTTCTAGGCAACAATACATTACTAGTCGACTGGATGCCACAGAATGACCTGCTAGGACATCCAAGTATTAAACTATTTGTAAGTCATGGAGGAACTAATGGGATTTATGAGGCTATATATCATGGGATTCCAATAGTTGGCATTCCCATTATTTTTGATCAAGCTGACAACTTATCCCGAATGAGAGCAAAAGGTGTTGCGAAGGTTTTGGATGTTTCAGATTTGGACAGGAAAATATTTAAAAATGCAATACAGGAAGTCCTTAATGAACCATCCTACACAATAAACATGCAGAGGCTCTCCAGGCTACACAGAGATCAGCCAATGAAGCCACTGGATCGTGCTATCTTTTGGATTGAGTTTGTCATGAGACATAAAGGTGCAGCTCATCTAAGGACTGAGTCCTACAAACTGCCCTGGTATTTCTACTACTCTCTAGATGTCATATTATTTTTACTAACAAGTGCACTACTTACATTGTTTTTTTTTTGTCATGTTACTATGGTTTTGCTTTAGATTGTGTTTGAAAAGAAAAGCAAAATCTGACTAAAAGTCATTTTCATATGTTGATACATTGTTACAGCACAGTCAGTTTGGCTGTGGTTAGTAAAACTGATTTCTTTCTCAGTCATTCCCAGTTTGACAGAAATACTGTCTCAGCCAGTCCCAGTGTTTATACTGCTTCACCCAAAATCTTCTCTAGCCCATCTTTACTTGAGTTGATCATCATATAAGTCATCATATAACTTAACTGTTTTTCATATTTCTTTATTATAAAGATCAGTAGTGGTTTGCACGTTTGTCTAAAACATGATCCCTGGTTCAAGAGCGGTAGGAGATGCATAAAAATCTGCCAAATCAAATATGTGCAAATATGTATGCAAATATACATATCCTGTATGTTTATTTTACATGACCTCCTGTAGTCTTCTGAAGTACCTTCGTGGGCCATCAGGTGGTGCTGGCTACACTTTGGGAATCACTGTAAGGAAAAAAAATCTACTTATCTGTATGTTTTTCTGATAGGATTATTTATAACATGTATGGATTTTCCAAATCAGAAAAAACATATTTGAGGACTGTGGACCACAAAACTAGTTATCTTCGTTTTTGTATGAATTTAAATTACAGAATTGCAATAAAACAAAAGCTTATTGCACCCTGTATGTGTTAAGGTATATGTTCCTCTGTAGCATTAAACATCTGTAACCCTTCAGTTTTGAAAACAAGGTTTTCCTTATTCAGTCTTAGTTTGGTAACTGATGGGCATACGACAAACATCAAATACTGCGTTACCTCCCCTTTGTACTTTCTTATCACCTGTGCTTAAAAGACCATGATACTGCAGTACCAAAGTTCTGCTTAGGTTTAAAACTCTAATGGTTGGTGCATGTTGGTCTCTCTGGCAAAACTGAATTTGAAAT